TAATTAGTCTGACTTTTAAAGACAGATGTAAAATAGGTATTGAGAACCTTAGCCTTCTCCTGAGCAGTCACATTGCATGCCGCATCCAGTAAAGGATGGAGATTCTCCTTGGCCCTCCTCTTAATGTTAATGTACTCATATGAAAGTTTTTTGTTCTTTTTTACTATAGTGGCCAGGTTGAGTCCAAACTTGGCTTTTGCCTTTATAATTTTCTCCCTTTGTATCTCTTTCCAACCCCTTCTTCCACAGGTGATAAATTCTCTTTTTCTTCCAGAGCCTCAGAAGAAGTTCTCTTTTCATCCACACCGGTTTTATTCCCCGCCTGCTCATCTTACAGCAGAGGGGGACAGTCTGCTCCTGCACCTCAAAGACTTCCTTCTTGAGAAGTGTCCAGCCTTCCTGAATCCCTTTGCCTTCAGGACTGAATCCCAATGAACCCTCCCTATCAGTGTCCTGAATAGTTCCAAGTCCGCCTTCCGGAAGCCCAAGATAGCAGTTTTGCTGAGCCCTCTCCTGACTTCATCAAGAATAGAGAACTCTACCATTTTGCAGTCACTCTGCCCAAGACAGCGCCCGACCTCCACATCTCCCACCAGTCCTTCTATATTTGTGAACAACAGAACTAGCAGGGTACCGCCCCCAGTAGACTCTCTTACCATCTGTGCGAGGAATTTGTCTTCTACACACTCTAGAAACTTCCTAGACTGCTTCTTCTGTTCTCTATTTTGTTTCCAGTATATATCAGGGAAGTTGAATAAAACAAGGGCTGTCAATCATGCAACTTCTGCCAGCTGCTCCTAGAAAGGCTTGTTTGTCTCTTCATCCTGACAGATCCTCACCAAGACATCTCCCCTATTAGTCTTCCTGCTGATTCTTACCCACAAAGTCTCAGTTTTATCTTTCCCAGTTGTAACTCAATAACATCAAAATGGTCTCTAACACAAAAAGCCACACCACCATCCCTCCTTCCTTGCCTATGTTTTCTGAAGAGCTTATAACCATCCATTGCAGCACTCCAGTTGTGGAAGCAATCCCACTATGTTTCAGTAATGGCAACAAAGTCATAGTTTGCCAGCCGCATGATGGTTTCCAACTCCTCTCATTTGTTGCCTATGCTGTGTGCATTGGTGTAGATGCACTTCAATTGAGCCATTCACATCTCCCCCAGTCCCATCATATTTCCCACAGGCTTATCTCTAGCAAGCCTTGTTTTAACCTCCTCCCACTTCATACCTGGTGTAAAGTTCTCTCAGTGAGCCTTGCTTTCTCCTTCCCTTTCCTGCTGTTCTATTCCTCTAAGGTAATCATTGTGCAGGCAAGATAGATGAAGATCGGAGCAAACTCAAGGGTATCCTAATCAGAGCTGCCAAAACACCACTGTAGGACCAGATGCACTGGTCTTGCTCTCCTATCATGCTATCACAAGGACACTGTACTTTGAGTTTTTGACTGGTGTGTCAGGAAAACTGGAACTGGGCCTGTTGCTTATACGCTTATATACCTTTTCTCAGATGGCTCCCACGTGTCTTTATAAACTTTAGTAAATGAGTGTATAAACTAGGATCTGTCTACACATAAATCACTCTGTCCACCACTGAAGTACAGCCATCCCCAGGATGAAACACAGCAGCTGCTGTAAAATCACACCACAGCTCTACAAGCACAAATTAAGGCAATAAAGCATGCTGCATGAGGCAACTGAAACGCTTGGAGGAAAGAAGGGGAACGTGGTAGAGAGCATTTAGTAGTTATAGTTACCGAAGTATAAATTTGGCTGGAGAGGTTACTGTGTTTAACACTTGCATATCTGCAAATCAAAGCCGTCTTCAACCACCTGTCATAACAACTTGGCCGCACTATTCTCCATGCTTTGGCATTCTAACCTCCTTTTGGAAAACTGCAAAGCACCTTGATAAGAGCAAAGCTGATGTGCTGAGCACAGGCTATAACCTAATCAAATTTCTTAGCAACTGACTTGATAACAAACTGTAGCTGTTATGCCCTCTTCCTCTCTCTTGCATGACAAATGAACATAGCATCTACGTATTCCTTGTTTTAAAATAACTCCTGTAACTTGCAAACTGTCCATGTGGATCTTATTTTCTAGGCTAAATGTAGCTAATTACAGTCACTCAGGGGACTGAACTGTTGCATCCTTATTTTTATTTTGGAATAGGCTCAAGCAGTGTGTTGTCCTCCGTCAAATTACAATCTGTTTATAATAAGAATGGAGCTACACAGATTACAACCATGAATTTCCTTGCTTAAAAGGCAGTTCAGGAACAGTCATCTCCCTGCTCTCCTCAGCTGTATAGTCATGTATGTTCTCTGATAAACCTGAAAATAGGAAAGTATGGGGAAATGATTTGAAAGGTTCTTCCAATCAATTCAAAACACAGGACATTGCTTAGGATGACACTGTGTGTACTACTCACATGAAAAAAATCACTAATTTGAGTGCCATCTCTCTACATTATGTTTTATCTTCCCTGCTACAATTGTTCCTAGTTCCACAATTCCTCTTTGATGTTGCAGAGGCCAAATATTCTTTTTAGAAAATCAATAGAGTCTAGCATTATTCATTTGGATTGTATTGTTACTGAAATACTAATAAAATGAGTGACAGCTCAGACAGACCATATCAAATGGATTAGTGTTCCAGCTTGGATCAGGAGCATGCTTACAAGCAAGCCTGTTGCACAGGTCCACGCTACAGACTTCAGGGTTGCCCCCAGGGTTCCTTTAATAGCACTTAAAGTAGAAGATCATTCCAACTGCTAAGTGGCCTTTGGTGCGCAGGATCAGATAAGAAGTAACCCAAAATAAAGTCTCCAAGATGTGTGCAGTGTGCACCCAGCAGCCCTCACTGCCATCTGTGCCAGACTGTGAATCTGTGTTTATGGGAGCACAGTACTTGTTAATACAGGTATGGCCATGTAAACGGTCTCCCTCCATGAAAAGTCTACAAAAAGTTAATGACAGCTTCCAGGGCAAATATTCCTCAACAGCTTTTTATGCAATTACATTGAAAAGTATATTAATTCACATACTCATCTACACACATATAGAAAGGACATCATGAACCTGTCATATTTAAAGATCTCTCCCAGCAGTTTCACTTTAGCTTCTTTGGCTGTTAGTTTTAATGAATTGGAGAGAAAGTGAAACATATTCTCCTTGAGGTTACATAACAGGGATCTCTCCTGTGCAACTCTGCCGCCAGTATTAATCAGTAAATCACAAATATTCCAGGCCACACTGCGCCTTCACAACTTTGCAAGCCTAAAGGAAGTCAGCTGAGCTAACTGGACGTGATTAGGTCTGTTGCTGTATGTGAATGAAACAAGTAAATATATGGTCCAACTAGAGCATCATAGAGCTAATGACCTAGGAAAATAAACTGAATTCTGTAAGTTAGAATGTAGCACATCAATGGTTTCATTGTATTAACTTACACCAGAGATATATCTGATCTTATGTATACACCTGATTTAGTGGGCGGCAACCCTGCACATAGCATGAAGGTTGGAACTGGATGATCCTTAAAGTCCCCTCCAATTCAAACCATTCTATGATTCCATGATAATTCTGTATGAAGCATGCTCTGAGGAAAAGCTCAGCTGTTGTCCATCTGCACTCTCAAAGTTAAAAGAATCTGATGGAGAAGCTCTACTCTCAAACCATCTTCACGCAAGACAAAATATACATTCTGTGTACACAAATTCAGGCTTTTCTATTTGCCCAACCAAAAGGAGGGAAACAGTAACACTTGAATGGGCATACTTTTACCTAATCAAGAACTTTATATTGCCAGCCAAGGAGATAATCATATGACTCTTTTCTTGTTCTCTAAGTACAATACAGTGCATGGAATGCAAAGAAAGCATAAAACTACCAAATTGTATCATTAAGGATTTCAGTATGCAAATCCAGCATATAAATTCGGCAAGACAGTCATCCCTTGCGTCATTTTTTGTCGGTTGGCCTTTTGAGCCAATACAAAAAGATATAGTAGAAAGAAAAAGATAAAGCCACTCAGCCTGAATTCTCATAACTAACGACTTGTGTGGAGTACAACAATGGTTGCCGGACTGTCTGCTAGATACGCAAAATGCTGTTGATGATTAACCAGGAAACGTGAACTTCCTTGATAAATAAAGAAAATGAAGGAGAAATCATTCTAAAACAATATCAGAGAATTACACGAGTGACTTCTTTTTTTAAGCACACACTTATACCCTGCTCCTGAAGAAAAAATAAAGGAATAAACTTTGAAGCCTATGATTAATAATAACTCTCTTCACATACTTACAAAGATCACAGTTGACCACAGAAAGAAAAAAATTATCTGGACAACAGGAAACTATAAAAATGTCTATTTTTAGAATATGCCCATAGCTGGTTAATTTCAACAATGTCAGATATTTTGTAAAGGTTAAATTTCCATTATGACACAAAGATCCTGAGTCATGGGGGTTGGACTCGATGATTTCTGGAGGTCCCTTCCAACCCCTACAATTCTGTGATTCCTACAATTCTGTGATTCATTTCTTCAGTTGCTGAAAAGTGACATCATTTAACAATTTCAAAATGAATGAATAGTAAATAAAGAAATAAAACACAAAAGAGCCCCACAATAAATATCAATATACATAGACCAATTTTGAAGTTTTGCTCCAAAAAATCTCTACTTCAAATAGGTACTGCGTCTCTCATAAGCTCCTGACTGAAAATCAGAGGACACACCATCAGCAAACATAAAATATTATTCACTTTAAGGCAAATTAGAGCTAACTATTGACCAAATAACTTTCCTCTATTTCTCCTTCACATATGAAAGAGAAAAACTAGGGTAACAATGTGCAAATCTTCACAGCATATTAATAAACAGTACACACAAAACCGATGCAAATAGGAGCCATGCATGTGTCATGTCTGTGTGATGTCCATATTGCCTAACTCCCTGCAAAAAAAGCTCCACACTAGCATATTGTACTCACATGTTTTGCTGAGAACTCATCTATCTCCTGAAGCAGCTTCTCCTGGCACTCCGGGTTGGTTGCTAGCAAATACGTGGCAAAGGACAGTGTGCTAGTGGTGGTCTCATACCCAGCAATCAGGAAGAGAAAAGCTTGGCCTGCTATTTCATCCTCAGTTAGCATCTTCTGAGCCTTTTCAGATGGGGTCTTGTCAACAAGAGGCACCTCATTTTGGCTGGAAGTGGTGGCTGGACAGATCTTATCAAAATATTCACCTGCTAAGGCATCAGCTGAGTTGCGGGAGTCAAGCATCCACTGGAGAAAATCTCTGCGCCTCTGCAGAACACAGGGTGAGAAGAAGCACAATGAATGAGAAGAAGCACAAAGAATGGGTCATAGAGCAATGCCTTTATCTAGGGGAGATGAAAGGAGAGAGTTGTTTCCTATTTATACTGCCCACTCATAGGACAGGCAACAACTTTTCACTGAATGAAGAGACTTCTATAAATCAGCTAGAAATGCCACCACTAAGAGCCTACCACTCTGTTCTTCTCTAAAGGACAAGGCTCATCTGCCTCCAATATATAAAGGTACATATTTTCACAGAGGATTGCTAATGGCTCACTCCAAACAGAGCTTCTTTCAACTGCAGGGTGAGCCTTTCACACTTACTGGAAGTACTTTGACATACTCAAAGCATGGTCCAAGGCACATCTGCCAAGCATGATGCAATTCTAAGCAATTCCTGCTTAGCTTGTTCTTCCAGCATTTTTGACCCATCTGTTTGGAGGCATCATCCCCACTTATTCACATGGTCCAAAATATGAAAGGTCTCCTACATTTAGGTTGGCATCTACAATCCTTTCTGTACCAATTTGACAAGACAGGACTAGAAACCAATCTCAACAAACTATCAAAAAATCAATAAATTTAATGAGAAAGTACAGTTGTAAACATTCTGATATCAATGCAGGTTGTTTGCTTTTTTTTTTTTTTTTTTTTTTTTTTTTTTTTTAACATACTTGCAGAAGTGCACTACAACTGTAAGTACTCCTCTGCTAAAATATTTGTCTGGGCAACCTGTCTTTGTAAAACATCCATTGAATGATTGTACTGTTATGAAAACTGTTTTCTTCTGCACTAGCCTCTGACAGACAAACTCTAATAAGCAGACCCATGGGCAAGAGTGAGTTGACTCCAAACCAGCCTGGACAGCAAGCTTGATTAGGCTTTGAAATATAACCCAAAAGGTTTGAATTGACATTTTCAAGTGGGCATAATAGAATTGTGCTGAACCTAAGCCATAAGGCTATATGATTGATTTTCAATTCCTCAAATACCAACAGAATACATGATAGCTCAAGGACTTAAAGTGTAAGTGGACTTACAGTACCAGCACATGACAACTTATGCACTGGGACGGACAAGAGAAGGGACCAAGTCTTTCTTACAGAAAAGTAAAACCAAACCAATCCAAACCCTGTAAACCTGCATGTAACTATTACGAAGAAATCATTTCAATGTCTGCTAATAGAGAGACAAAGAAATGGGAAAATGAGAGGAAAGGACAGAAAAACAAGATAAGACTAAGGAAGGAGTAATTAATACAAACGTCAAAGGAATTAATCAGGTAGTTTTTTTCTATATGACATGGAAAAGAGAGCAATGAAACAAGAGAAATATTTAGTCGTGCTTTTCTCTGCTGCCAACAAACTGTTCTGACTGAGAACAAGTAATTGCTACAAGCAAAAAGGAGTGGTTATTTTGAAGTCTGAGTAATAGAAGGAATTAGCATACTGCATCTTTAGCAGCTCCCTCTCTCCATTCCACAGAGACTTTTCATTTTGCACACGTACATTACATACTTATGTCCATAGTGTAAATTGTATCCTGCTATATCTGAGACCTAATGCTCCAGAGAGTAGCCAGAACTAGTCACTGTGCTCAGAAAGCAGTCTACAAATTGGCCAAACTGCATCACCTTTAAGTGCTTCTCCTCCTGAGAAGTGAAGGCACAGAAAGCAGAATTATATACATACTGCCCAGTGAGCAAGCCAGCTATGAAAATACTTCCTTGTGCCTAGACTTAAGCACAATCTCCAGATTCAAACTGTTGATTCTAGTAAACTGTTACAGAATAATTCCACTCTTTTATTTTCCTTTAGACTGCAGGGAACAAGATTTCATGCATACACATGCTATCCACAGCTGAAAGTTCTACTTAGCATCTCCAGGAGGAGTTTATTAACAAGCTGGGAGTCCATATATTGTAGAACAGAGAGTCCAGCTCTTGGTATGGCCAACACTTCAGGTATTACACCTGTACATATATTTGGGTTACAGTGGTTACAAACCAAAACAAAACACTTCCACTGTGTTCATTATCGAGCGAATAAACTAGAACAGTAAAATAATGAACTGCATCTGTAGAGATATTCCCTTTTCTTCATACAACTAGTCCATCATTGCCTAAACTACTTTTACAACAATATAATTACATTCATATTCATTGGAGTTGTACTACTGCAATATAATATTGTTCAAATGGCAAAACATTTGGAAAAATTCTGCATTTATCCTTCTCTAGCTGTGAATTTTCTTGTAAATAAATTCATTGCTCTCCAAGGACTTGCAGTCCCAAGTCATGAACTGTAAGCTGAGTCTGGTCTTTTATTTAGACAATACATTCTCTGGAGATCCTAAAAAATGTTTCTCCAGCCTTAGATAAAATCAGATCTGGACCTTGTACAAAGCATATTGTTAACGCTGTCATAGAACAGGGATAATCACAATGACTACTGAATGAAAACTCATTCATGAGAATTTTTGCTGAAAACAAACTTAATGAATGCTAGCACTAGTGAATATTCCCAAGAATGTGCTCTGAAATGCCTCCATGGCCATTTTGAGGGGCTATTTCTATTACTCTCATAATATATTTGGTTAGAAATTCAAAACGTTGTCTCGTTACAGAATCTGCTTATAAGGTCACACTATCTAGAAACAACTGACTATCTGTGCTACGCAGTTTGTTCACAGGTGAGCATAGGTTGCTAAGAACAATAGTTTCATAAACAATCCTTACAAAAAACACATTCATCTCTAAAAACTATTTGAGCAATAGTGAGAGGAAAGAAGCATAACATTTGTAAGATGCAAGCTTTGTTCAAGATAATTTTACACAATGCAAGGAAATATATTTTAGCAAAGATTCTCTTCCTTATGGTTCATTCTACTTCACTTTAGGCATCAGTATAGAATGCAACATAAAAATAATCATCAACCCAAGCGAGAGAAAAGATTTCCAGGGTTATAACCAGTCATAATGAAACATATTTTTCTTCCGCACCATCAGAATAGAAAAATCACTCTGACTCAAAAACCTAACAATGGCAATAGAGGCAAATACTAGCATAAAACCAAATATAATTGGATTTTTAAGTGTTGGAAATGAGGAAAAGGTATCTCATGAAAATTCACAGGGTTTTTCCTCTACTTAGGTTGACGGCAGTAAAGAAAAAAAAAATAGAAAAAGAAAAAAAATAAGCCAATTTGTCAATTCAACATGACAACAGACCGGGCACTGACAGTGTCACTGCACAAAAACATTCTCTGGTCATCACGTGTGGCTGTTGGCTTCCTTTACCATTAGGGACATTTCTTTGATTTTCCTTACGAAAAGCAAAAGCCCATAATAGCCTCTATCCTGTCCTCTGATACTTGCATAGTTATGTTACAATAGCCTTAGAAACGAGTTCCTGCTTCAAAAGAATGGTGTAGACTCTAGTTTGCCATGATACAACAGAGAGTTTATCATTAAGCCAATGAAAATTGAATGGAAAGATATACTACTTGAAAAATTGTAATTTGAATGCAGCATGGACAGAGTGTATGCCTAACTTGGTGGTGACACAGACATCCCCTTTGAAATATATAATAAGACAAGTTCTACTTTCAGCTTCCTTGAGATAGACACCTTGCAATATATTTCCTGACACCAGTGTTCTGGGCCATATCATTTCTCTCATTAGCCTCCTTAAGCATCACCTGGCCATGCAGAGAAATCATTCTGCACAGAACTGTAATGAGCTATGTGCTACGTACTGGAAGAATAGATGTGTGCTATACCAGGAAAGGCAGTAACTATCACCCCTCTTTAAATCACCACTTTCAAGTTTTGCAACTGTTGGAAGAAAAGAGAGATATTCACATGCAGTGCGTCATGGTTCTTCTCACAGAGGACAAGGATCTTGGGGGAAGGGGGATGTCTCTAGATCTTCCCATCCTAAACAGAGAACTGTGCTTTTATATCAACTACTGACATACTGGCCAACCTCTTGGCAAATTCACTACTGATTTGGGGATCCAAGGGACCCTTCAGTTACATTTTCAATAGAGAGACTGAGGCATATGAATCTTCTGCTAGGTAATGTGAAAAAATTACCTAAGATAGACTATCAAATGTACGAGGGCAGCTCCAAAAGTAATGTCTCCTATTTTATTATGTTGGCCCATAGCATCAGGAGAAAGTTGGGGGTATGGCAGTAGAAGCCAAACCTTCTCACTAATATTGCATTCCATGTTGTTGCTGTGTGACAGATGGCAGCAGAGAGGCAGTGTGACCAAATGGGTCTGACATAGAGGTGCGTATGAAAAAAAAGGTGCATCGCTGAATTCTTCCATGCAAAAAAATGGCACCCACTGACATTCATCAACACTTGTTGAGCATTGATAGAGACCAAACAGTGAATGTGAGAACAGTGAGGCTGTAGGTGCTGTGTTTCAGCAGTGGTGACAGTGATGTGAAAAGACAAGGCACTTTCCTGGCAGCCACACACAGCTTTCACACCATGAAATGAAGACCATCTTGATCAGCTCATCCACATAAATCAGCAGATTATGACCAGGGAATTGCATACAGAGCAGAATATCGGCTTTGATGCACTGGAAATGATGGTGGCAATGCTGGACTGGAGTACCATCAAATTTGTGCCAGGTGGGTTACACAAATACACAAGAACAGAATGAACACTGTATGCAAATTTGTCAGGACCTATTGAACCAATATAAGACCGAAGGTGATGGTTTCCTGGATCACATCATTACTGGTGATGATCTGTGGTGTCACCACTACGAGCCAAAGCCAAAACAGCAGCTCATGGAGAGGTGACATGAATTCCCTATCAAAAAAATATTTCAAGACACAGTCCTCGGTGGGTAAAGTACTGTGCACTGTCTTTTGAAATAGGACAGAGGTGATCCTTCTGGACTTACAGGAACCCACACAAACCATAAACTCTGACAGCTACTTTGCAACTGTGACTAAGCTGAAGGCT